GCGCCGTCGTCGCCCCCGCCGAAGTGCAGCTGGCACCGGGCGTCGTCGAAGCCGGGCGCGCTCCGCCGCGCCGCCGCCGCCGCCCGAGCCTGCGCGACCTGCGCAGCCTGGTCGTCGTCCGTCGCAGTGGGCGCAAGAGGCTCCATCGATGAGTCGGCCGCTATTACACGGTTCAAGGTAAAGAGAAACGCTGCATATTGAAGCGCGTAATTCAAGCGACCGAGTCTGGGCCGCGGTCAGCCTGCTGAGCGTCCCACGCGCCGCGCTGAGCGCATCTCGCACCAGAACTCACTTGCTATGACGCCGAAGCGCATGCGTGCGCGCCGCGAGAAGAAACGCGATTCCGCAGCGAACGGCGCGCCAGCGGAGCCGCAAACGCCGCCAGCAACGCCGGAGCCCTGCGACGAGCCGCCGACGCCGCCGGCATCGCCGGAGCCCTGCGACGAGCCGCCGCCGCCGCCGGATTCGCCGGAGCCGCGCGACGAGTCCTACGACAGCACGGCCTACGAGGCCTACGCCTCGACTTACGACGCGCCGCCGGAACCGTCGCCGGAGCCGGCGCCGGAGCCGCCCGCGCCGCCGCCGTCGCCGCCGGAACCGTCGCCGCCCGCATCGCCGGAAGCGCCGTCGCCGTCGCCGCCTTCGTCGCCTTCGTCGCCGCCGGCGCCGTCGCCGCCGCGCGCGTGGGCCGTGGGCGTCGAGTTCGACGCGCGCGCGGGCCCGCGCGCGACGTGGGTCGAGCCGCGCGAGGACGCCGCGGTCGTCGCGGCGCTCGAGGCGGAGCTCCCCTTCGCGTGCCTCGCGGAGAACACGCGGAGCGTCGACGGCACGGCCCAGGAGCCGCGCGCGACGTGCTTCGTCGTCGAGACGGCCGACGGGCGGACGCTCTTCGGCTGCTCGTACATGCGGAGCGAGCTCGCGGCGGCCGCGGCGCGCGGCGCGGAGCAGCGCGCCGTCGCCGTCGTCTCCGTCTTCCCGGCCTACGACCTCCTCGAGGAGCGCGTGCTCGCGCTCAGCGTGCTCGCGCTCGACGAGGCCCACGAGGCGAGAAAGGCGCGCGCCGTCGCCGCGGCCGCGGGCCGCGACGCGGCCGCGCGGTGCGCGGGGAGCGGCGACTTCGCCGCGGGCGTCGCGCTGGGCCCCGCGCTCGGGCGCCTCGGCCCGGGCGACTTCGTGCGGCTGTTGCGCGTGTGCCTGCTGGGCGGCCGCGTCGCATTCTTCTCCGCGGCGCCGAGCCGCGCGTCGCGCGGCGCGCTCGCGCTCGCGGCGGCGCTGCCCGCGTTCCTGTCGCTGGGCGTCGCGCCGGGCCTCGAGGACCTGGCGCCGCGGCTCCACGCGCGCGCCTTCGGCTGGCGCCGCGACGGGTTGCCCGCGCTGACGGCCGCGGCCTGGGGCGGCTTCCAGCCGCTCGCGTCGATGGCGACGGCGGCCAAGTACGCGCCTTCCGGCGCTTTGGACGGCAAGCCGTCGGACCGCGGCTACCTCATCGGCACGTGCAACGCCATGGTGGCCCTCCGCCTCGGCGCGGCCGCCGACGCCGTCGCCGACGTCGACGCGTGCACCGTGACGTGGGGGAAAACGCCGGTCGCGGCGGCGGCCCGGGCGCTCGACGCGCGCGCGAAGCGGCTCGAGGCGACGCTCGCGTGCTGGGTCGACGGCGACGGCGCCGGCGCGCCGGTCTGCCGCTTCGTCGGCGGCGACGACTGGGCGCGCGCGGAGATCCGGACCTGGGCGGTTGCGGCGCTCGGCGACGCGGCCGCGCCGTCGTTCCTGAGCAAGTTCCGGGGCCCGGACTTTGGCGAGCTGCTCCTCAAGCGGCGGCCGCGGGTCCCGGAGGAAACGGCGTCCGCGGAGCAGCTCGAGGAGTCCTCCGACGGCGGCGGCGCGCCGGAGCCGCTCGAGGAGTCGCAGCTTGAGGAGTCCTACGAGGGCGGCCGCGACGCGCGGGGCCGGCGCGACGGCTACGGCACGTGCGCGTCGCACCGCTACAACTACGTCGGCGACTGGAAAGCCGACGCGGCCCACGGCCGCGGGTCGCTCGCGACGGCGACCTTCGTCTACACGGGCGCCTTCGTCGAGGGCGTCTTCCACGGCTCGGGCGAGTGGAAGGCGCTGCCGCCGGCCGCGCGGCGGACCTACGACGGCGAATTCGCGCGGGGCGAGTTCCACGGCGCGGGCCGGCTCGACTGCGCTGCGGAAGGCTGCCCGCGGCCCGACGCGCGCGGGGCCTGGATTTCGTACGTCGGCGAATTCGAGCGGGGCCTGCGCCACGGCGTCGGCGCCTGCACCTACGCGTCCGGCGCCATCTACTCGGGCGAATGGGCCGCGAACGAGGCGACGGGCGAGGGCGCGCTCGTCGACGTCGACGGGTCGACGATCCGCGGCAACTTCCGCGCCGGCGCGGCCGACGGCTCCGCGACGTGGCGCACGCGCGAGGGCGACGAGCTCGACGGCTTCTTCGCCCAGGGCGCGCCGGACTGGGCCGCGCGGTGGACGGTGCGCTACGCCGACGGGCGCCGCTACTCGGGCGCGCTCCGCGACGGCGTCCCGTCGGGCGCCGCGGGCATGATGCGCTACGCCGACGGCGCCGTCTACGAGGGCTGCTTCGCCGACGGCCTGCGGTCGGGCCGCGGCGTGCTGCACGGCGCCGACGGCGCGACCGTCGCCGGCGAGTGGCGCTGCGACCTGCTCGTGCGCGACGCGGAGCGAGCCGCCCGGCCGGAGAAGCCGGCGGGCTTCGTCGGGAGCGACGACGACGCGGGCTTCTGCTCGACGAGCGACGACGACGAGAGCGACGCGCCGCCGTGCTCGCCGGACCGCTTCGAGACCGCGCGGCGGCCCGGCGCGAGCGCGAATCTCGCCGCGGCGCTCCCGCGACCGAACGAGCGGTCCACGGCGCCGCGGCGCGGGAAGGCGCGCGTGCGCTACCCGAACGGCGACGTCTTCGACGGCTGGTTCGCGCGGGGCCTGCGGGACGGGCTCGGCGTCTTCGAGGAGGCGCTCACCAGCGTCCCGTGGCAGTGACGATTTTCGAGAGATGTTGACCGGGAAAACGAAGAGAAGTCGTTACCGACGTGCTTGGTAGGCGCTCACGGGCCACACGTTCGACGGCGACTGGAAGCGGGGCCTGCGCCACGGGTCGGGCACGTTCACGAGCGGCGACGGCGCCTTTTCGTACTGCGGCCAGTGGCGCCTCGGCCGCCGCTGCGGCGAGGGCACGGCGACGCTCCGGGGCAAGGTGTCCTACGCGGGCCGCTGGCGGGACGACGCGTTCCACGGCGACGGCGCGCTCGTCGACCACGCGAGGAACGCGTACCGCGGGGAATTCGCCGACGGGCTCAAGCACGGCGTCGGCGAGCAGACCTACGCCGACGGCGCCGTCTATAAAGGCGAGTGGGTTCGCGGCGAGCGCCACGGCGTGGGCCACCTCGTGAAACGCGACGGCGAGACCTTCGCGGGTAGCTGGGTCGCGGGCCGGCCCCACGGCGAGGGCACGCTGACGCGGCCCGACGGCACGTCCCACGCCGGCGGCTTCGTCCGGGGCGCGCCCCACGGCTGGGGCGTCGTCACGACGGCGTCGGAGGAGCGCGAGTGCGCCTTCGTCGACGGCGTCGCCGTGGAAGACGACGTGAAGATCACCTACGGCGCGGGCGGCCAGTACGTCGGCGCGACGCTCGGGGGCCTGCCGCACGGCGACGGCGTCCGCAAGTGGCCCAGCGGTGAGACGTACGCCGGAAGCTGGGTCCGCGGCAAGCGCGCGGGCAAGGGCGTCGGCGTCTTCGCGAACGGGGATTCTTACGACGGCGAGTGGCAGAACGACCACCCGGCGTTGGTCGGCGGCGGCACGCTCAAGTCCGCGTCGGGGGCGACGCGCGTCTTCGAGCGGTAACATTCGGCGACACTATAAGAGTTAGCCGCGAGAGAGGGGGGAGGTGGGAATGTCGCGGGAACGGCGACCGCCGGGGTCTACCGCTTGGCGCCGATCATGTCGCTGACGAAGCCGAAGGAGTCCGCGTCCTTCGGCGACTGCGCGCCCATGAAGGAGAAGCCGCTCGCGCCCGGCGCGGCGGTCGCGACGTCCGGGATGTGCTGCTGCTGGCCGGGCATCATGGGCGGCGCGGCCGCGAGGCCCGGCATCATCATCAGGCCCGGCTGGCCCGGGTGCGGCGCGCCGCCCGCGAGCGCGCGCTGCTGCATCGCGAGGGCCTGCTGCTGCTGCTGGAGGTAGGCCATCTGGGCGTGGGCCTGCATCTGCTGCTGCCGGAGCTGCTGCTGCTGCGCGTAGGCCGGCGTCGCGTGCTGCTGCGGGACGAACGCCGGGCCCGTGCGGCCGGCCGTCGCCTGGAAGTGCTTGTCGGCGCCCGTCGCGGGCAGCCCCGTGAGCGCCGCGAAGGGGTCGCCGCCGGGCGACGTCGGCGCCTGCGGCGGCGGCGGCGGCGGCGCCGCGGCCGCCGCGGGCTCCGGCTCCGCGGCGGGCGCGGCCGCGAAGGGGTCCGGCGCCGCGGCGAAGGCCGGCGGCGCCGCGTCGAAGGCCGCCGGCGGCGCGTCGAGGGCCGCCGGCGCCGCGTC